CAGCCGGGTAATCCGTTTTTCAGAAATCCAGACAAGCATTTATGCAAGACAAGCCAAGACGAGTCCCGAAAATGTCTTGCAAGACTTGCAAGAATTCTCGTTCTTGCCGAACTCCATTGCTCGCAAGACGGAACTCTACTACCTACCGTACTATTTGAGCTATGCGCCTTTAAAGATGCGGCGCGTCCTCGGACGCTGCTGCTATCGCGCAGAGACGTCCTTAAAGGCGCATATCTCAAAAACTGCGGTAGCCAGAAAAAAGTGGTCAACTATAAAAATGAAGCCCTTGTCTTGTTTAGTACAGTATGAAATTTTCAGACAAATCTGAAAACTGTTGACAACTTTTGTACCAGAATCAAAATTCCAATATTTTGAGTTTTTGAATTCTGTAAAGTATGAAAAAAAAACAGTAAAAATTTGTCTGAAAATTTCTTTATTATTTCAGAATTTTTGAAAAGAATTTGGGAAAATTTGTTCGTTGGGGAAATACATTTTTTTTGATCGATTTTTGATTTTTTTTTTGTTCATTTTTTGATCATGAATTCAAAAATTAAAACCACATGGATACACCGAAAAGGGGGAAAATATGAAAATACAACAAAAAATAAATAAAAATGATAAATTTCAGGATTTTGGGGGCGGGGAAACGGAAGAGGGAGAGAGATCTTAAAGTTAAAAAAAATGAAAATTTTTGAAAAATTTTGAAATTCTATTTTTTCAAATTCATCATTCCAATCATCTTCTCCTGCTCACATCCAAAACAAGCTGCTCCGGTTTCAGCCATTTTCATACCGCACTGAAAAAGTTTTTTTTTTAATAGATATGGCAATTTTAAAGGCGCATATCTCCAAAATTACAGTAGCTAGGAAAAAAAAGTCATCTAGAAAAATGAAGCTCTATTCATGCTTATTATTTTCATAGTTAGCAGTTTCTGAATAGCTACCGTACTTTTGAGATATGCGCCTTTAAAGATGACGCGCGCTGATAGCTTGAGGATCATTTTTATTTTTCGAGGGAGTATTCTCTCTTTAAAGGCGCATATCACAAGAATTACAGTAGCTAGAAAAAAGTTGAAAACTAACAAAATGTGTAAAATTTAATGCTGAGCAATTATGCAAATGACAAGATTTGAACAGCTACTGTAGTTTTTAAGCTATGCGCCTTTAAAGATGAGGCGCCTTTCACCTATTCGGAGGCTGCCGCCAAACGAGCGCATAACTCAAAAACTACAGTAGCTAGAAAAAAATTGTCAACTATAAAAATGAAGCTCTATTCATGCTCAATATTTTTGCAATTCACAAATGTTTGCTACCTACCGTACTATTTGAGCTATGCACCTTTAAAGACAGGGCACCCTTCCCCGGAGGCCGCTCCTCAGATGTGAGCGCGCGCAGAATCTTTAAAAGCGCATATCACAAAAACTACTGTAGTTACTCAAAATTTGTTAATTACAAAAATGTGTGAAATTCAATTTTGAACATTTTTGCAATTTACAAATTTTTGCTACCTACCGTACTTTTCGAGATATGCGCCTTTAAAGATGCGGCGCCTCTCCACTCCTTGGATGATGCTGCCAGCGCGCAGAAAGGTGCCCTATCTTTAAAGGAGCATATCTCAAAAACTACTGTAGCTACTCAAAATTTGCTAATTACAAAAATAAATCTCTATTTTATCTGAAAATTTTTGCAGTTGATCACTTTTTGCCAACTACCGTACTTTTTGAGATATGCGTCTCTGAAAATTAAAAACATTCTCACCATTTCATGAACATTCCGCTGACATTGCTCACATTTCATCGTCGTATGATTCTCCTTAATTTCCCATAAACACACAAAACACTTGTTTTTCTCCGAATTCGCCGAAATCATCGGCCGAAAACCGCCAAATGGATTAGAATTCAAATTTGGCGGCAAATTTAAACTTGGCGCCAAATTCAAATTTAAATTTGGCGGCGACTCTTTTCGAAACGTCGAATTCGAATTCATCCATTCGGATTGTGATCCAGATGACGTTGACGATGCTAACAGCGGCGACCACGTGGATCTGATTGGGGGCGGAGCCTGAGGGGGCGGAGCTTGTTTTATCACTGGTGGGATTACTGTAGTTGGTGTTGTCGTGGTAAGACCCGCCAGCTGATTTGCCAACGCGTTGATTGTATTGTCCTGTTGACGAATGCGAGCAGTTAAGTTGGAATTTTCGTTTTTTAATCTGAAAAAAGTTTTTTTGAGAAACTGTGAAAATTCAAACTACCGTATCTCAATGGGTACTGTACCAAATTTGAAAAAGTTAGAATTTTTGAATTTTTCTCGAATAGAGATTCAAAATGAGCCTAAACACGATTAGCATCCGCTCAATTTGATTTTTCCGACGCGTCGCGGTTGTGCGTCGCGTGTCTAACAGGAAAAATCAAAATGGGCGGAGCCTAGTCGTGATTAGGCTTATTTTGAAGCTGAAAACACGAGAAAGATGAATTTTCAGTTTTCCTAAAGGTAGAACGGATGTGAAAGGAGATGCGGTGGTTTCAAAAAATCCCGAAAATTCCGATTTTGGAAAGAAACTGTCGTATTTCAATGGATACTGTACCTTATTTAATGAAACAAATATGTTTGAATTGGTCATGAAAAAAGCTTTAAAATGAGCCCAAACACGACTAGGCTCCGCCCATTTTGAATTTTCCATTTTGGGCATGCGACACACGACCGTTACGCTCCTGGAAAATCAAAATGGGCGGAGCCTAGTCGTGATTAGGCTCATTTTGAAGCTGAAAACATGAAAAAACTGAAATGTTACATTTCACAAAAGCAGAATGTGTCTGAACTGAGATACGGTAGTTCCAAAAAAAAATTCTGACTTTGGAAAGAAACTACCGTATCTCAATGACTACTATACCAAATTTGATAAAATTGATATGTTTGAATTTGTCATGAAAGGAGCTTCAAAATGAGTATAAACATGACCATGTTCTGAATAATTTTGAAATTCGGGTCCCGCCACGAAAATTCAAAATTTCGAAATTTTGATTCAAAAAAAACTCACTGATTAATTGTCGTCTTCTCATTGCCAATCACCTTATCAGCTGCCTCTTTTCGTCGATATTCCATCCTTAAATTGTCCATCGATTCTTCGAGTTGTGCGGATTTTTGAGACAAACTGCAATAAATTAGAGATTTGGCGGGAATTTGAATTTTCAAATTTTTAAACTACCGTATCTCAGTTTTTCCTTTTTCTAGCTTTTTGAAAGTTAGAAGTCTAGTTTTCTCATGTTTTCAGCTTCAAAATGAGCCTAAACAAGACCTACTTTGCTCAATTACGAAAATTTCGAATTTGACGTGGCGGGACCCGAATTTCAAAATTTTTTGAAACATGGTCATGTTTATACTCATTTTGAAGCTCTTTTCATTTCAAATTCAAAAATTAAAGTTTCATAAAATTTGGTACAGTGCCCATTGAGATACGGTAGTTTCATTTAAAAATCGGGATTTTCGGTATTTTTTTGAAACCACCGTATCTCAGTTCATTTTCGTTCTAGTTCTAAAAATCTAGGATTTCAGTTTTTTCATGTTTTCAGTTTCAAAATGAGCCTAAACACGACAAGGCTCAGCCCAATTTTGGGGTCAGAGCGCCAGAGAAGCAAGACACACTGCGTCTCTAACCTCAAAGCTAAAAGTGGGCGGAGTCTAGGCGTGTTTGGGCTCATTTTGAAGCACTTATCATGAAAAATTCAAAAACTTTAGTTTCATGGAGTTTGGTACAGTACCCATTGAGATACGTTAGTTTCTTTAGAAATTCACTCACTTCTGAAGTTCCTGCGTCTGACTCTGAATCGTCTTCTGATCCTCGGCTTTCTCTTTCTCCAAACTTCGAATTTGTTCTTCGAGTTTTGAAATTTCAATTGCCAACCGAACATTCAAATTATCCAGTGCTGTTTCATTTTCATTTCTTCGCCTAATTTCCGTTTTCAGCCGCTCAATCTCTTCCAGATCCTCCTTTGCTTTTGGATTGCTGAAAATAATTTTTCTGAAATTTTTTTCTAAAAATTCCAAAACTCTAAAATTGAAAAAAATTCAACATTTACAGAATTTTTCTCTGAAAATTCCAAAAAACTCTCACCTCCACGCCGGCGGACTACTTCTCTCCTTCTGCTTTTTCAACGCCAACACCTCTTGCTCCAATTTCAGACTTTTCATTTTTTCGCTGAAATATATTTTTTTCAATTTTTCAGAATTTTCCAGAATCCAAACTCACGTCTTCAACCACGCCTCCACATGCGCGAAATTGCTCATTTCAGCCTGGACCATTTTCATCTGGTCCCTCATATTTTGAACCTCTTTTTCGACCAATTTCGTCTTTTCCTCGGCTTTTTTCAGCTCGTTTGCGTGTGATTTTCGAAGTTTTTCCAAGGAATCAGCGGCTTCTCTGGAAATACAGTGATTTTTTGAGCTTAAAATTGTCTGGAATTGGATGAAAATTGTAGAAAAATAGGCTGAAAATAGCTCAAAATCCCGGTTTTCCATCTAGAAGCGCCTTCTTAACTTTGGCACAATTTATCTTGATTACTGTACTAGGTATCAAAAAAAATTAAATTGATAAAATATTACTGATAATTTGATAAACATTTTTTTAATTGATCGCTTTTTTGATATCTCTGACAGTAACCGAGATAAATCGATTTAAAGTTAGGAGCGTCGGTCGGCTGCCGACGGCTATGCCGCGTAGCTCGGTCGGTTGTCGATAGGCTAACTTTGACTCAATTTATCTCGGTTACTGTAAGAGATATTCAAAAAATGTTAACAGGTAAAATGTTTATCATAATATAAGCAACATTTTATCACTTGACGTCTTTTTAATATCTTTCACAGTAACCGAGATAAGTCGGCTCAAAGTTAAGAGGTAAGCTGTCAAGGTGCTTACGACCAATTGGTCCATTTTTTTCAGCATTTTCAAGATATTTTAGGCAGTTTTTACGGCATTTTCAAACTTTTGAATATTAGATTGATCATATTAAAAGATTTCACCAACGACTTAATCGTGTCCATCAAAAATTGACTTTTTTAAAAAGTCCAAAAATGTCGTGAGCCGATTTTTTTTTACAAAAGTCGAATTTTTGGGATTTTTTATCTTAATTCCAGTAAGAGATACCAAAATTTTGTCAACTGATAAAATGTTACTAATATTATGATAAACATTTTGTTAGTTGGCCACTTTTTGATATCTTCTACAGTAACCGAGATAATTCAGCTCAAAGTTTGGATGTCGGCAGAAGACATAACTCAGTCGGCATTCTAACTTTGACCCAATATATCTCAGTCATTTTAAGAGATATCAAAATGTTGTGAATGAATAAAATGTTTATTATAATCGCATTAACATTTTATCAGTTGATCACTTTTTGATATCTCTTACAGTAAGCGAGATAAATTAGGTCAAAGTTGGAAAGGTTGTGCTTGCCGGGGTCGGCTGCGTTTTAAGACATTTTTTAGCATTTTTCAGGCATTTTAAGGCACTTTCAAATGTTACAAACTCCAACCCACCCCTTCAACGTCTCCATCTCCTTATCCCGTCTTCTCAACTCGTGTGCATGTCCCTTTTCCAGCTTCCTCGTCTCCTTCTCCTTCTCCTTTTCCATATCCACAACCTTCTTGTTCAAATCCCTCAGAGTTTTATCCACTTCGTCTGCTCGTTTTATTTTTTCTTGATTGCTCAGAATCTGCTCTTTTAGCTCCTGATTTTCTAATTGGCATTTTTTCAATTCTTCATCACAAAACTTCTCAGTTTGCGTTTGATGATGTCTCGTTTGAATTTTCCGCCCCGAACACCGCACCATAATTCCTCCAGATGATTCAGAAGACGTCTTCAGCTGCTCAAACATCCTGTCAACCTCTTCCTGCACTTCTGGATTCATCTTCCCTTGCATCGTCCGCCTTGCCACAAGCTTCGGTCTCTCATGAACTGACGTCTTCACAGGGGGCTCACCATCATCAGAATCTGCGTCAGAATCCGTCGAGATGTCTCCAGAAGCTCTTCTCGTAAAATGAAATGTTTGAGAAACGGATCCACTGGTTACTGTCTGTGTAACACTACAGTACTTCCCTGCAGTCGATGCTAACAGTCCTTTAATCATACATTCCACCTCATCTGCTCCATCTAGGCTAGAAGACGTCGTGCCACGTGGTATTGCGAACGTCTCCGATTGAATCGGATTCCCATTGTTCTTCTTCGCCTTCTTCTCCGCTTTTCGTTGTTTCAGAAGTTCGGCTCGTTTCGTTCCGTTCGCTAGCTTTTTGTTGTAAGCTGGAAAAAGAGGAATTGGAGATTTTTGGGATTTCGGAATCATCGAAACTTCAGACGTCCTTGATTTTTGGGGATTTTTTGGAAACTTGATTTTCGAAACTTTTGAGGATTCCTGGAATTTTGAAAGTTTGAATTCTGGAAAATTACAAAATTCCGAATTTTCCGAGACTTTTTAATTTTCTAAATTCTCAAGATTTGAGATTTTCAAGAAACGGTTTTTTTTCGAATTTTTCAAAATTTAAAATTTTTGGGTTTTCCCAAAAACTCAAAATTCAGAGTTTCCGAATTTTTCCAAAAACTACAGTAATCTCTCTCTCTCTCACCTTCATCCTTCACAATTAGACTCTCGTCATCGGTATCCGATTGTCCACCACCACACGTATGTTCGTTTTCCTTTTTTGAGCAACAAGATGATGACATGGTATCTGCAATTTTGGAAATTTCAGAATTTCTGTTTGTCCGGATGTCCGCAAAAAAAAAGTTTACAGAAAAAAATCCGGAAAAAATCGGTGAAAAACGAGCAAAACGTGGGAAACGTAAAAAATTAGCAATAGAGCGAACTTGCATTTTTTGAGGGAAAAAATGACTGAAAATTGAGTGAAAATGGTCTAAAAATGACCTAGAAAGTTGAAAAAAAAAATCTAAAAAAACAATTTTCAAAAAAAAATTTGGCGGGTAAAAAAATTTTTTTTTGAAAAAAATTAGTGGGTCAAAAAGTTTTTTTTGGAAATTTGGAAATTTCAAAATTTCAAAATCTCGAAAAAAAATTCAAAAAATTCAGGAATTCAGAAATTCAGAAATTCAGAAATTCAGAAATTCAGAAATTCAGGAATTCAGAAATTCAGAAATTCAGAAATTCAGAAATTCAGAAATTCAGAAATTCAGAAATTCAGAAATTCAGAAATTCAGAAATTCAGAAATTCAGAAATTCAGAAATTCAGAAATTCAGAAATTTAGAAATTCAGAAATTCAGAAATTCAGAAATTCAGAAATTCAGAAATTCAGAAATTCAGAAATTCAGAAATTCAGAAATTCAGAAATTCAGAAATTCAGAAATTCAGAAATTCAGAAATTCAGAAATTCAGAAATTCAGAAATTCAGAAATTCAGAAATTCAGAAATTCAGAAATTCAGAAATTCAGAAATTCAGAAAAATAGAATTTTGCGGATTGCTCATCCTCAAAAACTAGAAAAATGTACGAAACGATTTTTTTCTCAAAAAATCGATTATTACAAAAAACGTACACACACAAGAGACACACAAAACTAACTGAATGGAGGGAAAAGAGGAAGAGAAGGGACACGACGAGAGAGTATTGGAAAAGAGGAGAGTGCGAGAGAGAAAGAGAGACGCAGAGAAAACGAGCGCGTAGCGCTGCGTTTTGTAGCGCGTCTTTTTCCGCACATACACACGCGTATACACCTCAAAAACGATAAATGATAAGAAAAAGAGAGATTAAAGGGACATAGGGGGAGAGAGAGGGAGGGAAAGGAGATGCAGAGAAAATCTGATTAGGACGATGGGAGGACAGCTGGCAGGTAGTTGCCAAGCCCTTATCGGAAAATGGTCTAGTTTTGTGATTTCTAGGCCACCAACAATCTTGTAACTGACTGGATGACCTAAGATTCCTAAAATTGGGGTTTCTAGACTTCTAGATTCTAGAAAAATCCGAAAAATTATAGATGGAAACAGTTGTAGTTGAAAATCGGTGTCATTACTCTTATTCTTGTGTCGGAAAACTACTTCAAATTGGTCCATTTTGCTCGAAATTTTAAGACGAAACTAAACAAAACAAGAGCTTCATTTTTGTAATTGGCAACTTTTTTCTACCTACAGTAGTTTTGAAAATATGCGCCCTTCTTGGAGGCCGCTCCCCCAACCGAAGAGCGCGCACAATCTTTAAAAGCGCATATCTCAAAAACTACTGTAGATGGTAAAAAGTTGTCTATTACAATATTGCTCAGCATTAAATTTTACACATTTTGATAGTTGAAAATTTTTTTCTAGCTATTGTATTTTTGGAGATATGCGCCTTTAAAGTTAGGGTGTCACTCTCCCTTTCCTTGGGCTCAAGCTGAAGCGCGCACAATCTTCAAAGGCGCATAAATCATAAACTACGGTAGCTAAGAAAAAGTAACCAACAGCAAAATTGCTCAGCATAAATTTTCAAACACTTTTGTACTTAACAACTTTTTCTAGCTACCGTAGTTTTTGAGTTATGCGCCTTTGAAGATTGCGCGTCCATGGCAGCAGCGGAGGGAGAGAAGTGTCCCATCTTTAAAGGGGAATATCTCAAAATGTACGGTAGCTAGCAATTATTTGTCAACTACAAAAATGAAGCGCTAATTTTAGTCGACATACTTCGAAATTTTCAAACAATTCTGATCATTTTGAATCACTTTTGTGGGTTTGTTTTTCCTGGAACGGGGGGGATTAAGGATGAGCAATCTAGAGAGACGAAAATAGAGGAACATACGGAGAACAAGAGAGATAATTAGGAAGATAATTAGGGGATTTTCTGGATAATTAGAGACATCTAAAACAGGAGAAACCGGAAGTTTTGCTCTAGAAACTGCAATCTTTTGAAATTTTGAAAAGTTTGAAAATTTGAAACTTTTGAAAAATAGATCATAGATTCTGGTTTTTTTTAGTCGATCACTGAACAAAATATACACAGTAATAGAGACTAGATTACTGTAGTTTTGGGGATTACTGTAGATAGAAGTTTCTAGAAACAAAACGTTTCAATATTAGCAAAAGAAATCATAAAAATGAGCAATAAAAAGAAGGAAGACATAAAAAAAAGAGAGAGACGCAGAGAAAAAAGTATTCGAAATAAACCAACAGACGATGGATAATGTTTTGGGAATTTTCTGGAAATTGAAATTTTCCAGTATTTACAGATTTTTTTCGGAATTCGAGATTCTGAAAATTCTGAACTTCTTATTTTTATCCTTATTTTTGATTTTTTCCAGACGAAATGTGTGAAAAAAAAGAAGAAGAAAATTCACCTGGAAATCAGAAAATCAGAAAAAAAAGAGGAAAATCTTGAAAACTGAAAAATTTTTTTTTGGGGGTCAGCCCAAAAATGTTCTTAAATTGGGCTACATATTACCCCATAACTTCCCGTATTTTGTTCCCAAACTTGCAAATTTTACCTTTTTGAATTTCCCACAATGAGAGCTTCAAAATGAGCCCAAACACGACTAGGCTCCGCACACTTTGAGTTATGAGGTTTGAAACGCAGTGTGTCTCGTTTCTCTGGCGCTCTAACCTGAGAAGTAGGCGGAGCCTAGTCGTGTTTAGGCTCATTTTAAAGCTTATAAAATTTCAAACAGATTACAGCTAATTTTGAATCGATAGCCTAACAATTAACCAAGTTATGATCGCTTTTTTGAAAATCTCAACTTTTCAGTTAAAAACAAAAATAGTAATATCTTTTTAAACTTGAATTCAATTGATGTAAAATTTATTACTTTGAGTTTCAAATGTTACAAGCTTTGAAATGAGCCCAAACACGACTAGGCTCCGCCCACTTTGAGTTTTGAGGTTAGAGGCGCAGTGTGTCTCGCTTCTCTGGCGCTCTAACTCAAAAGTGGGCGGAGCCTGGTCGTGTTTGGGCTCATTTTCAAGCTTAAAACTTGGAGATTCTAGTTTCAAAGTTTATAATCAATAAAATGTGAGAAACAATCTGGAAATTTCAGACAAAAAAACTTTTTTTTTTAGAAAATTTGGGACTTTAAGATCAAGTGATCAAAGACCATATTCAAATGTTCTACCGTATCTCAAATGTTTTGATTTCCATATTTCTCTGCGTCTCTCTTATCTCACTCTATTGTTCAACTGATCAGAACACCAGATGGCATTGGCACTCTCACTTTCGATGACCTTTTCTCTGCGTCTCTCACTCTCTCACAGTCTTTTTGATTTTCGAAAACTAGTCTAGACTAAAAACAAGTTACACACGAGACCGGTTTTTCTTGTTCAACATTTTTTTTTTTGAATTTTTTTCTAATTTTCAGAGATTTCTCAAGTAGACATTCTAGAAAGACTTTAAAGGTCGTGGAATGTTCTAGAAGGCTCCAGAAGCTATTTTAAAATTTTTTTTAGTAAATTTGAAAAATGTTACAGTAATCCAATGTATGCTGAAACCAAATGGATCAACTACACGGAGGGATTTGAGGGTGTAAGTTTTTTTTTTGGGATTTTTTGAAACTACCGTATCCTAGTTCATATTTCTTATACCTTTACAAAAATTAAAAATTAAAAGTTTTCATGTTTTCAGCTTCAAAATGGCCCCCAACATGACTAAGCTCCGCCCACTTTTGAGGTTAGAGTGCCAGAGAAGCGACACACACTGCGTCTCTAACCCTTAAAACTCCAAGTGGGCGGAACCTAGTCGTGTGGGGGTTCATTTCAAAGCTCTTTTAAGGATAAATTCAAAAATAGTATTTTCATAAAATTTGGTACAGTACCCAGCGAGATACGGTAGTTTGAATTTTCGTTTCGGAAATTCGGGATTTTTCGAATTTTTTTTGAACCTACCGTATCTCAGTTCATTTTTTTGTAACTGTGAGAAATTCAAAATTCTGATTTTATTATGTTTTCAGCTCAAAAATGAGCCTAAACACGACTAAGCACCGCCCACTTTTGAGGTTACAGCGCCAGAGAAGCGAGACACACTGCGTCTCTAACCTCAAAACTCAAATTAGGCGGAGCCTAGTCATGTTTATGCTCATTTTGAAGCTCTTTTGATGACTAATTCAAAAATGTTAATTTTATCAAATCTGGTACAGTACCCATCGAGATACGGTATTTTGAATTTTTAATTTTTTCAGAATCCGCCTCCTCCGAAACTAAAACTCAACATTTCTCTAATTTCTGAAAAGTTTTTGAAATCGAAAAATCCAAAAATTCGTACGTTTTTTCTGGATGAAACCGATGTGGAAAATGTGGAAAGTGAGATGAAAAAATGCAAAAATCAAGAAGAAAAAGATAAAAAATCAATGGAGGTTCTGAGCAATCTGAGCAACTTCATGGTGAGTTTTTAATGGAAATTTTAGTTTTTTTATAAGGTATAAGGTATAAGGTATAAGGTATAAGGTATAAGGTATAAGGTATAAGGTATAAGGTATAAGGTATAAGGTATAAGGTATAAGGTATAAGGTATAAGGTATAAGGCATAAGGTATAAGGTATAAAATTTCAGAAAATCTTCAAAAAGCAGATATATCTTCGAACAATTCCCGATACTCAAATTGGCTTTAATAAAAATCGCTTCGTTTTTCTTCACGAAGCTCTAGAATCGATTCCGCTAGCGCTGAAATTTCAGAATTTGTCAAATTTGGAAAACGGGACAAGTGAGTGTCTGTTTGTCGGGTTTTCCCGATGTCCAGAAGCATTTTTTGGGCTGAAAATGTTTTTTCCAGAAGATTTCGAAATGTATTCCAAACAAATGGGACCACTGGAAGAACTCGATACTTTAATGACAATCAAAATTGAGCAATTTGAAGAGATGCTGACTGCTTTCAATGTGGATAAACGACAGATTACGGTATGAAAAATTTTGAGATTTTTTTGAAACCACAGTATCTCCGTTCAGATTCATTTTACTTTTTAAAAATGTAAAAATCCAGTTGTTTCATTTTATCAAATTCAAAAGGAGCCTAAACACGACCTACGTCGCTCAATTTTGAAATTTTCAAATTTTCGTGGCGGGACCCGAATTCCAAAAATTTTTCAAAACAATTTCAAAACATGGTTATACTCATTTTGAAGCTATTTTTATAAAAAATTCAAAAATGTCAGTTTTGTTAAATATGGTACAGTACCCATCGAGATACGGTACTTTCTTTCGGAATGAGAGTTTTCGAGATTTTTAAATTTACCGCCAAATCTCAAAATTTGAATTCTTTCAGATAATCACTGATCCAACACACGAACCGAGTCGTCGTCAAATCTACGAAACTGGCAAAGTTTCTGGAATTTTCTCTCCGGATTCTAGAATTTTTCTAGACAAATCCAGAGCGATTTTTCTGATTTTCCAGAATTTAATTATGGGAGTTAATTGGCAAAAAAACGATAATTGGATTTTGAAATCACAACTTTTGGAATTTATAACAGAAGTTTCGGAATCAGCGGAGGTACTGTAATCCATAATTTCTGACTTTTAGAATTCATGAGTTTCTGAATTTCTGATTCTCAGAAATTTAGAAATTTAGAAATTCAGAATTTCTGAATTTCTGAATTTCTGAATTTCTGAATTTCTTGGAATTTCTGAATTTTTAAGTTTCTGAATTTATGAATTTCTGAATTTATGAATTTTTGAATTTCCTGGAATTTCTGAATTTCCTGGAATTTCTGAATTTTTAAGTTTCTGAATTTATGAATTTCTGAATTTCTGAATTTTTGAATTTCCTGGAATTTCTGAATTTCCTGGAATTTCTGAATTTTTAAGTTTCTGAATTTATGAATTTCTGAATTTCCGAATTTCAAAATTTTTTGAAAAATTTTACAATTTTCAGGGAACCTACCATTCGGAATCTTCAATTCGGCACAAAATTCAAAATTTCAAAAAATTTTACGTTTATTCAAACGAATCTGAAAATTCTGAAAATCTTCTTCTTCAAAATTCCCATCCCTCAGCGGAAGTTCCAATCTCTGAATATGAAAAAAACGCCAAAAGATTTGACTTACCGATTTTTTCGAATTTTTCGAAAAACCCAAAAAATCTCAAAATTTGGATGGCTCGATTTTTCCTAAATCTCGGATGGATTTTTGCATTTTTCAAGAAAAATGAGCATGAAACTGAGCAATTGAGAGAGGAAATGCTCAAAATTGTGCTCTTTTTGGTACCGGACCCTCGATTTTCTAACCAGTGTGCACAGTTTTTGGTGGGCAAATTAAAAAAATTGGAAGTCATTTTTTTTTTGGAAATTTTGATTTTTCCAGGAACACTTGCTGAGCCACAACTTTGGAAAATGGCCAAATATCGAATCTCAAAATCTGCCAAATTTTCAAAAAATAAGTGAGAATAATTTTTTTTTCCAAAAATTCAAATAGTCAGAATAAAAATTTGTCAGAAATTCTAAAATGCTGAAATTCTAAAATTCTAAAATTCTAAAATTCTAAAATTCTAAAATTCTAAAATTCTAAAATTCTAAAATTCTAAAATTCTAAAATTCTAAAATTCTAAAATTCTAAAATTCTAAAATTCTAAAATTTTAAAATTCTAAAATTCTAAAATTCTAAAATTCGGAAATTCGGAAGTTCTAAAATTTTAAAATTCTAAAATTCTAAAATTCTAAAATTTTAAAATTCTAAAATTCTAAAATTCTAAAATTCGGAAATTCAAATTTTTCCAGATTCCAAAACTGCACAAAAAATTGGAAAAACCGAAGAAAAATGGTTCGAAAAGTATCTGAAAAAGTGAGAAGGTTACTGTAAGTAAAATTTTAAAATAATTTCATTTTTCAGACCGAAAAATCCAGAAATTTCAATAGAAATGAAAGATTTGAAAACTGGAAAAAGGTGAGGAATTTTGGTTTTTTTTTGAGAATTTTAGATCATTTTTAGCATTTTTAAGACAATTTGAAACCGATTTTTAATATTTTTCTAAAATTGTGAGACTATTTTTAGTTTTTTTTTTGAGCTTTTTTCAAACTTTTTTTTATCATTTCAGTTTGATTGTGACTGCTTTTAAATTGTCTTACAATTAGTTGGTTTTTTGCTAATATTTGAGTAATCCGGCTATTTTCAGTCTATAGAGGCCTTCTTAACTTTGAGCTAATTTATCTCAATTACTGTAAGAGATATCAAAAAGTGATTCACTGATAAAATGTTTATCATAATATCAGTAAAATTTCAGCAGTTGACCACTTTTTGATATCTTTCACAGTAACCGAGATAAATTGAATCAAAGTTGAAAGGTCGGCTAATTTGAATTTTGTTTTCTCTCTCTCTCTCTCTTTCTCTTTTGACATTTTCTTCTGATTCATGAACATATCAATTAATAGATAATTAGATGATTAATTACCCAAACTATTATAATTAGCGTAATTATTTAAACGTTTATTATATATGCCCTCTTTCACTTTTAGTCAAAAAAGCAATTTATTCAAAACATGATGATTTTTGTCGTAAATGAACTGGAAATTTAATTTTTCAACGTTAATTTTTTTTAATTCTCATTTTGTCATTTTCAGATCAATTGTTCAAAAATTGGGATAACTAGGGCCCTTTTTTTGGGACTTTTATAGATTTCTAACCTAAGTTTGACCGTTTTGTACACATTTTAAGTGTTTTTTGACATGTTTGAAGTCATTTGAAGGCCAATTTGAAGCCAATAAGCCGTTGGACCATTTTTTGGCATTTTTGGCCGATTTTGACCCAATTATAAGCTCATTTTCAACGTTATCTATATTCCTTTGTTCTTAAAAAGAGAAAGTTTAATTACCCTCTCCTAACTGGCTAATTAGAGCGCCATATCTCAGATCTCGTTAGTTGCTACTTCCCTTCCACCTGTTCTCCCTTTTTAATCTACTAATCTATTTCCAGAATCTTCCACCACCACACCTCCACCTCCCCCTCTCTCTCTCTCTCTTTCTCTCTTTTTTCTCTGTGTCTCTCCCTCTCTAACCCCTCACACCATCCACCACCACCCTCCAGCCGCCCATCGTCCGTCTGCCATCCGCCGTCCGTCCACCACTCCCAAAACACGTCTCTATGTCTTCTCCAACCACTCTCCTCATTTTCAACACTCTCTCGCCGCTCCCCTCTTCTCACGTCGTCTCTTCTCTTCTCGCTCATAAAAAGTGCAGCAGTATGTGTTGAAAATTTCTCTCTATCTTTTTTTTCTTTTTTTTTTTCTTTCATTTATAATTTTTTCTCCGGTTAATTTTAGTTCGTTTTGGCAGTTTCATAACCTGAAAATTACATTTTAAAGTTGAATTTTCGTTTTTTCAGCACTTTTGAACTTGATTTCGAAAAAAATCGGAAAGATGATTATCAGTGGAGCGTGAATGCATTATCATTAAATAGCACTAGTTTTAAAATCATTTAATGTCAATTTCAGCCATTTTCAGTCTATTTGACAATTTTCAGCTCGTTTTTAGATTTTGTTTCCAATTTTCAGCCAAGACAATTCGCTTAAGATAGTTTTCGTTTTTATTTTTGCAAAATTTGGCAATTTTCAGCATATTTTTGAATTATTTCAAGAAAAAGAAACATCTTTTTCTGAAATATCAAAATTTAAATTCTGAATTTAACACTATCAAAATCCTACAAAATTTTTTTTATTTTCTATCAAATTGTGCCATTTTCAGCCCTTTTTTGAACGTATTCAGGTCATTTCAAAGCCCACTATTTGCCATTTTTTAATTATTCTTTTTCACAGTTTTTTAAATAAAATTTCCTCTCGAAATTCTCCAAATTTTGGTGGCTTAGAAATTCAAAACAAAACTAGTCCCCCTTATTATTCTGGAACGTCTCTAGAGCAGCAAAAGTGGGAATATGCTCTCGAAGAAGCTTTGGAATCTTTAGATTTATGACTTTTCCATTAGTCAAACATCTAATTCAGTCCACAAGGATTTGCGTTTATGTCATTTTGATGAATAGGAAGGATTACTGTCACCTGCCTTCTCTTCTTATCACACTTGCAAAATGCGTCGGACCATTTTTTGAATTTCAAAATTTCCAGAATTTCATGAAGTTCATGAGATTTCTGGAAACCTTATAAAAAATTACAGGTTACTGTATGTTCAGAATTTTTGAATTGAAAGAAAAAAACCAAACATATATTATTTAAAAATTGAATTTTGAAAGTTTTTGATCTATTGAAATTTGATCTACTGAAAAACGACAACGATTTTTTATCTCAAATTTTTTATATTTACACGGCGTTTTCATTGATTTTCCAGCCAATTTTCAGACAATGTTTAGATAGTTTGAGCAAGTTTTTTGGCGTTTTCAGAATTTTTGAATTTCGAGAGTTTTGAAAATTTGGAATTTCGAAATTTCTTAATTTCTCAGAATTACCGACTTTTTAGAAATTCTCAATTTTTTACAGTTTTAAAAATTTTGGAATTTCAAAATTTCTGAATTTCTGAACTTTTTTTTATTTAAAAAATTTCCAAATTGCGAAAGTTTCAAATTCTTGTAGATTTAGATTTTTGCTAGATTCTTCACTTGACATGACTCACTTGGATGCAAATGGCACGACGCCGTCGTCGGCGTGTTCCCACGCGGGACCTCTTTCTCTGCTTCTCTGCGTCTCTCTCATCCGAATACTCTCTCGCCTTCTTCATTCACCGTTAGCGCTCTTTCTTCTTCTTCTTTTCGCTTTTACCTTCTTTTTTGTTGCGTCTTTTTTTTTGTCTATTTTGTACACTGCTGGACAGTGTTACATCAAAAATTCTCTCTCTCTCTCTCTCTCTCTCTCTCTCTCTCTCTCTCTCTTTTCTCTTTTCTCCTTACGGTTATGATCACGATGGGATGATGAAGATGATGATAGGGATCGCACAGTTAAACCTGAAGAAATTTTTTTTTTGCTAATGAGAAGTTTTGCTAATAAGAAAAATTTTTAATAGGAATTTTGATTGTATAATTATAAAAGAGAGCGATGAATACAATAGAATACGGTAGAGTTTAAGATTTAAGGATTTTTTGGCCAATAGGATATTTGCGAAGTTTATAAAAATTGAGGATAACTGTAGAATTTAGGATTTTTTGCTAATAAGAAAGTTTCTTAGTAAGAATGTTTTTTTTTGGGCAGTTTGATGATAAAAAAGCACTTGACAAATTAGGGATTACTGTAGAATTTAGGATTTTAAACTTTTTCTAGTGAGAATTTTCGCTAGTAAGAAGATTTTTTAATAAAAGATTTTTGGTTGCTATCTCCTAATAGAACATTTTGATAGTGTAATGATAATAGAGTGAGTTCGAGAAACCCAGGATTACTGTAGATTTTAGGATTTCAGGTTTTTTCATTGCTAATAAGAATCTTTGCTAGTAAGAATGTTTCTTTCTAATAGGTGTTTTTTATTGTAGAATTCAAATTTTATGAATTTTTTGCTAATGAGAAATTTTGCTAATAAGAAATTTTCTCAATAAGAAATTTTTTGGATAGCGTGATGATAAAATGAACTCTAACAATAAGGGATTACAGTAGAGTTTAGGTATTCCGGAATTGTTTCTTAATAAGAATTTGGCATCCCGCCAAAAAGTTTTTTCTTCTCTTCTCGTTTTTTTTCTCTCACTGTCTGCGTCTCTTGTCTCTTTTTTTTCTCTCTTAACCTCCCCGAAAAATATTGGCATCACTTTTTTGTTTTCATTGAAAAAAATTTCTGTGGGATTTTCGATTTTTTTGGAACTTTTTTCGAGAAATTCTTCTTTTTTTTAGAATAATCCTTCTTCAATCCAATTAGAAAAATGAGAAATTTTGGAAATTCTCAATGGAGCGCGTTTGCTTCTTTCTCTTAACTTGAAAAAGTTTCATTTTCAATGGAGCGCACTTGAAATTTTTTTCTCTAAAAATATTTTTTTTCTCAGCAAAATGTTGGCGAATGGACCAAAATTGAAACATACGGACACGAATTGCGGGTTATTCAACTATGAACGAATGATACTCGATGACAAGGCGCCGAATATTTTGGTGAGCATTTTTCTGTTTTTTATGGCCTAGATTCGGGGATTTTGGAGACCTAAATATCTAAAATTTTAAAATTTTAGAATTTTAGAGTTTTAGAATTTTAGAATTTTCGATTTTTTGTTTTTTTTTCTAGAATTTTAGAACTTTAGAATATTAGAATTTTTAGGACTTTTAAAATTTTAGAATTTTAGAATTTTAGAGTTTTAGAGTTTTAGAATTTTAGAATTTTAGAATTTTAGAATTTTAGAATTTTAGAATTTTAGAATTTTTAGGATTTTAGAATTTTAGAATTTTAGAATTTTAGAATTTTAGAATTTTAGAATTTTTAGGATTTTAGAATTTTAGAATTTTAGAATTTTAGAATTTTAGAATTTTAGAATTTTAGAATTTTAGAATTTTAGAATTTTAGAATTTTAGAATTTTAGAATTTTAGAATTTTAGAATTTTTGAGTTTCAGAATTTTTGAATTTTTGAATTTTTGAGTTTCAGAATTTTTGAATTTTTGAATTTTAGAAATGATCAAAACTTGGTTCAATTTTTTCAAAAATAAAAATTTTCAGCTACACTGGACCCTCACCACAAAAACGACGCCTCGAATTGTGCTTCGACCCAGCTATCGCTATATTTTTCCAAATGAAATTTCAAAAGGAAAATGCAAATACTTTTTGACGGATCAATCGGATGAGGCTCTTATCAATCAATGGATTCAGAAGAATGACGGGGAAGTTCCGACACAATTAATTACGGAACGAATGAAGAATTTGACCATGTTTGAGGTGAGAAAGAAGGAAAAATAAGTTTCAGAAAGTCGATTTTTTTGCTATTAAAAAAATGGAATCTCAAAAAATTGCTATAAATTTTTTTTTCCCAGAAGCACGGAAAACAGAATTTCTACATTCGATGCATTCCACCAGCCGACGCTTTATCCCAAGAAGATGGTCGAATTTTTGTGGAAGACGCTGTCGAAATTGTGCCATTGATTGCCAAAAAATCGTCGTCAAGTATGAACAAAAAGCTGGCTGATAGTAAGTTTTTTTTTGTTAAATTTTGCTAAAAATATCTGAAAACTAGTGAAAAAGGGTTAAAATAGCCCAAAATTGACCAAAAATGGCTCAAAATGACCGTCTACCTTTGAGCCATTTTATCTTAGTTACTGTAAAATATATCAAAAAGTTGTCAACTGAGAAAACGTTGCTGATAAAATGATAAGCATTTTATCAATTGACCCTTTTTTTATATCTGCTACAGTAGCCAATAGGTTCAAAATTAAATAGGTTCAAAATTAGAAGGGTCGGCAGACTGCCTGCGGCAACCGACAACGTTGAATAGTCGGCAAGCGCTGACGCTTCAATTGATTTTCTGGGTTACTGTAAGAGATTTCAAAAAGTTGTCAACTGATAAAATGTTTATCATTTTATTTGTAACATTTTTTCAGTTGACAACTTTTTGGTATATCTGTTACAGTAACCCAGAAAATCAAGTCGAAGTTGAAGCGTCAGCACTTGCCAACTATTCAACGTTGTCGGTTGCCGCAGGCAGTCTGCCGACCCTTCTAATTTTGAACCTATTTATCTCGGCTACTGTAGCAGATATAAAAAAAGGGTCAATTGATAAAATGCTTATCATTTTATCAGTAACGTTTTCTCAGTTGACAACTTTTTGATAAATTTTACAGTAATCGAGATAAATCAGCTCGAAGTCTGGAACCGTTTTTTTCCCAATTTTCACTATTTCAACCTAGTTTTTATCAAAATTTCTCAGTAATTTGAACAGTTATCATCGCCGGAAAGTGATTACAGAGAAGCTCAACAATCACAAGATGAAATGGATCAAAGGACAAATTCCACAAGCACACAGTACGATTTCAGTCGCCGATTTTGTCGATTTTTTGGGAGAATTGGATTGTAATAAGTCGCTGGTTACGGTAGGTCACCTTTTTTGCGGCATAGCTAACTTAAAAATTTGAGTTTTTAAACTAGCTAAAATGGATAATGTCGATCTTGTGAAGTTCTACAAAATTATATAAAATTTGTTTCAAAATGTTGAGTTTGAAGAAAATTATGAGTTGCTATATGTATTTTCACACTTTGAGCCAATTTATCTTGGTTTTTATGAGAGATATCAAAAAGTGGTCAACTGATAAAATGTTTATCATAATATCACAAATATTTTATCAGTTGACAACTTTTTGATATCTATCAGAGAAACTGAGATAAGTCAAGTCAAAGTTGTACGGTCGGCAGCTGTTGGCTAAGCCTGCCGACTCCCCCTTAACTTTGACCCAATTTATCTGGGTTACTGTAACAGGTATCAAAAAGTAGTGAACCGATAAAATGTTGCTGATAATATGGTAAACGTTTTATCAGTTGACAAAATTTTGATATCTGTCACAGGAACATAGATAAATTGGATCAAAGTTGGAAGAATAGGTTTAACGGTACATGCCACACAGTCTAACGCTGCTTCTCCAAAATTAGGACAATTCTGAACTTTTTGAAATTTTCAGATTGTCGAAGATGCTCCACACTTGTCAACAAAAAACGAAATGGTTGAGGGTTTCGGATACATTCGTACATGTACACCGTACGCCGAACCAGCCATGGACCATATTCAAGCCATCTTCTTCACATTTCATTGTCTTGTGAACGGTGTCAACTGGACCAAAGAAGACTGTTTGGATCATAAGACATGCCTGCCAAGACTCAAAAAAGCGATTTTTGCATTGTTGAAGAAATGGGCCGGGTTGAATAAGGTGAGTTTTGGGGGAGGAAAGAAATGGGCGAGCTACGCGGTCACTTGTTGACTTTGAGCTAATTTATCTCGGCTACTGTAAAAGATATCAAAACGTTGTCAACTAACAAAATGCTTATCATAATATTAGTAACATTTTATCAGTTGATAATTTTTTGATATCTCTGATACGAACCGAGATAATTTTACTCAAAGTGCAAAGTGCAAAGTCAACTCAAAATGCCGCCGCCTGAGCTACGCGGGCAGCTGCCAACTTGCTGACTTTGAGCCCATTTATCTCAGTCCCTGTAAAAGATATCAAAAAGTTGTCAACTAACGATATGCTTATGGTAATAATAGTCACAATTGATCAGTTGATAGTTCTCAGATATCTATCAGACGAACCTAGATAATTTTAATCATAGTNCAAAGGNTANAGTCNNNTNNAAA